AGCGAACGAAGATCTCATGGACGGTATGCTTACCGGGATAAGTCAGTGGAATTCTCGGCGGATCCTGATCACCAAAGTATCTCCTCAGCGGCGGGATGAAGACAAATGTCGCAGGTCCCAGGCCACCGATCACGCAGCTCCAGAATATTGCTGGCTTTTCATGGGCTGCCCACCGCAGATACCGAATGGGTTGGCCCCAGAAGCGTTGAGGTATGCCGGACATTGTTGCCTTATGAGAGGATGTATGAGGACCTTGAGTGCTCAAAGGAGGAGAGAGGTTATATCGGGTTGGACCAACTTGGTGACCAGGGTGTACAGGATGCAAGCTTTCGTTGATTCGGAGGAGTCGAGCTGTCAAGATTGGTTTGTCTAGCTCTGCAAGCTCGATTCGGGTTCAAGATGGAGGCGACTCGCGAAGGATAGCAGTTGCCGATATGGTCTCGTCGTTTTGCCCTGCGTCGGGCTCAATTGGCAGTTGTCTGAGCGAGGGACATGCGAGAGTTGAAGCTTAGATGAAGTCCCGAACGCAGCCTTGGCATCTACTGCGGAGCATTTGACGAGGCTGAGACAAGGCTGAGGAGAAGATTAATTGACCACGTCTCCGCAGCACGCAAAGCCCATTGGGGGAGTGTGCGCAGCTACGGTACTCACCTCTCAATGAATGTCCCTGCTTAAGCACGGGAACCCGGTCAGTCCGTCTTGTCTTCTCTCAAGATGCGGCTCTTTTCTTCAGCCTGCCTTCTCCTCCTGCCGCTGCTGAGCGCCGTGCTGGCCAAAAGCGCTGTGGGAGACAGAGTCCTGGTCGTTCTCGAAGATGAATCGCAAAAGGGACTCTACTCGCAGTTCTGGGCTGATTTAGAAGGTATGTTCCCTCAACCCCTCGACTGGCAGGAGTTGGTGACTTATTTCATCTCATTAACCAGGGCGTGACTATAAACTGTCTTTCCAGTCTCCCAGGAGCGAGGATCTCTCACTCTTCAGACATGGTCAACTCGCTTATGACCATTTACTTCTCACACCTCCAAAGTCGAAAGGTAACGAGCACAGCCCGCAGCTCCGGTTTGCTTCGCCTTATACTGAGAATGAACAGGCTACGGGCCAGCCCTGACTCCCAAGATACTGCTCGACTATGTCAATGCTGGTGGAAACGTCTTGCTTGGTCTGTCCTCCGATGCGGGCACGCCTTCCGCCATCTCCTCCCTCCTACTCGAGTTTGATATTTCCTTGTCGCCCGATAAATCCTCGGTGGTGGTCGATCATTTCAACTACGACACGGTTTCCGCGGCCGAAAAGCACGATGTTCTACTGGTAGAACGCCCGGGGCAATTGAGACCTGATGTCGTCAACTTCTTTGGTGGTGATGGCACCCTAGCTGTGCCTAAAGCAGTTGGGCAGACACTGGGGAACACCAGTCCTCTATTGGCGCCCATCTTGAAAGCTCCCGCCACTGCATATGCATATAATCCGAAAGACGAGGCTGAGAGCGTGGAAGAGTCGTTCGCAACAGGCTCGCAGTTGGCACTCGTGTCCGCAATGCAAGCCCGCAACTCTGCAAGGTTCACGGTTCTCGGCTCCCTGGAAATGCTCCAAGACAAGTGGTTTGATGCGTCGGTAAAATCACCGAACGGAAAGAGTGTGAAGACGGTAAACCAGGAATTTGCAAAGCAATTGACCGAGTGGACCTTCCAGGAGGTCGGCGTTCTCAAGGTCTTCCATATCCAACACTACGAGGTCAGGCGATCTACCACGGCTGGTGAGAATACAACGCAAATCAGCGAATACGACCCGGATATCTATCGGATCAAGAATGACGTGGTAGGTGTCTTTTGTGACGAATCCGTCCGGCTGTCCTTCCACTGACTGAGATTTCTCTAGAAATTCTCCATTGAAATCGGCCAATACGACCGAACACACTACGTCCCCTTCACCGTCCCCGCCAACGATGCCCTGCAACTCGAATTCACCATGCTCTCGCCCTTCCACCGGATTCCGCTCCAGCCGTCATCAACCACACCCAACAGCACAGTGTTTAGCACGACATTTACAACCCCCGACCAACACGGCATCTTCGCGTTCAAGGTCAACTACAAGCGGCCCTTCCTGACCTACATCGAGGAGAAGAGACAGGTCACCGTCAGACACTTTGCCCACGACGAGTGGCCTCGAAGCTGGGCCATCAGCGGCGCGTGGCCGTGGATCGGGGGCCTGTGGAGCGTCGTCCTGGGTTTCGTCGCCTTTGTCATGGTGTGGCTGTACTGCGAGCCGCCAAAGGAGGAAGCCGAGCGGCGGAGGAAGCTCAGTGTAAGCAGCACTCCGAGGTGAACAAGACGAGGATGACCCTGTGCCGGAGGCCCGTTAGCGGTCCTGGTTTATGGTACGTCTCCACGGTCTGGGGGAAAAAAAGAATGTCATGTATTCTATGGGCTTCATCGACGGATTGGCAAGGGGCATATAAGGGGCGACTTTCTAGATTAAAAAAGAAAAGCTTACGAACGAACAATGGCGGTTGATTCAGAAATGGTCTCTCTTGGTTCAATGCTTTTGTTCTGTGACTTGTGTCACCCATATTTATTGTACATGCTCTGTCTGACAGGAGGTCCGATATTTACAGCTTGCCCTCCTCTTCTGGCGCCAGTGGTGATTTTGACGGCAAGCTATACGTGCTATTGCCGCGTGATTCGCGATGTGGTTCAGCACTTTCCATAGAGGGCGATGCTGCACTGGTGGGAGGAGATCCCAGTAGTTTTCACGCAGAGAGTGGAGAGTATGCGCCGCCACGTCTCTTGTTCGCTGGCCGCGTGCTGGCCGCGCCTTGGAGTCTAGTTGACCGCTCTGTCTTTGCCTAGCAGCCCTCAGATGGATTGCAGCTGAGCAGTCGAGCCGAGTCCTTGTTGCTGTTCAAGTCGAGGTCAGTTGGAGAACGTGAAGCGGTACGATTTGCTCGCGAGAAATAATACAGCGCGGCTCTCTTGGTCGGCTTTGGTTGATCGAGACTCTTGTTCACGGCCCGGCCTGGCCACTGATCGCTTCCGCAGCAAGGGTTCTGGCGTCGCACCAACAGCAAGGCTCTGCCCCGGGTGTCTGGCGGAGAGTGGGAGTGCATCTCGCCCCTTAAGGGCACGGTGATCCCCCCTGCAAGCACGTCTGCGACATCGCTGACATGTCCGCAGGTGCTTTCGATGGGAAGACAGCAGTGCGAGTCGTCCGGTGTCGGATTTCCTTACAGTCCTCTCGTCTTGCTCTCGTCAAACCCCAGTCCCTCGACCTCCCCTTTCTGGCCCTTGCCCATCTGCTCGCGGACATCGAAAGCCGGCCGTCCAGCGTACAGCTGGCTCTTGAGGCCCCCACCCGGGGCGCCCTCGACCTTCCTCCCACTCCCGTCGCCACCCTCGAGTTCCAGGCTGGTGGAAATGGGCGCGTTGCCTCGGAATCGTTTTCTCATGTCCACCAGTCCGCGCCGGCATTCGCGGAACCCGATCTTGAGCTGTTGGCACTGCTCCGGGAGGGTCTCGAGCAGCGGGTGGGAGAGGCATTGGAGGGGGGTGTGTCGCTGGACGAGGATGCAGTCGCTGTTCTGGAGGCATTGGGCCAGCGCATCACCTGTCGACCAGGGAGAAGAGGGGTTAGCCACAGATTCATACATTTCGCTGGGAAAGGAGAAGAGCAGCAGTGCTCAGAAAGGAAATTTGTTCGGCGAGGTGGACTGCAGCAGAATGTACAGTGGTGGCGGGACAAGGACGTACGGATATCTTTACACGAGGACGGCATTTTCGGTGTGAAAGGTGTTAGGTGAGGCTGTAAGGACAAGCGAGGTATACAGAACGGACGAGTATCTGTTGATAAGACTTCTTTCGTGTAAGAACAATTGCACAGGAAATGCTAGAGAGCTATGAGCAGAGCAGTTCAAGCATCACTTGATTCGGGGAAATCACAAAATGTTTCTCCAAGTGATGCCGGCCCGGAAAACTTGCCTCTTTCGAGAAATATCAGGGGGCGCTGACGAGGCTGCAGCCTTGTGAGTGTTTCCAGATGAGGCTCCATCGCGACAATGTAATGTTTGGGGGAGAGGAGGAAAGTTCTCGTCATATACTCGTATTGTGGCAGTCTTGAAAGTATTGCCATCAAGTAGACTTTGTCACCGCAGAGCATCAAAGATATGAGGGTGTAATCCTGTCCACCTGGGCCGGTATCAGCCCATCCTCGAGGTGAACTTCACGACAGTCACTCACTCACAGTCTCGCCAAGGATACACCTCGACGACCATGTGAACTCCCAGACTTCACCTACCACCGGCTCCACTTTTTCCAGGCAGGAAAATCACGAATATAAATGATTAAAATCGCCAAAATCTCCCAACAATTAGTCCAAGTCGGAAGAAGTCCCTTGCAGCAGTAATGAGACCCCTCACTCTACGCTTCGAATAACGCACCCCCCAGCCCTTTCGGGTTTCCATGGTTCAAAACCATGGGGACCCGAAAGGGGGAAAGGGGACTATTTGTTCTGGGTTCAGTGTATCACGGTCTGGTTGGTGGGGCCTTTCCCTAGACATGAGTTTGCTGTCGGCTTTACCCATATACATTCTCTCACCTTGCAAACCTCGCCCTCCTCCTCTCTGGAGGAGATCGGGGGGAGCACGTGGGAGAATGTGGGTAAAAAAGGTAGGCAAAAGAGGGGGGTCTCGCTCATGTCGATCAAATACTGTCAATGACTGGTGCCAGCGGTGGTGCCATGAGACGGGGCAGAGTGGCTGTTGTAAGATTGCTCGATGAACCCTCTCCACCGGGGAGAGGATAGGAGCCGCAACACCCACGATGAAGCCTACGGGAAAGGTTACACGATAGACCAGTCGTGGAACTGAACTTTTTGTCATTTCGAAGAAGTGATAACCACTTCTTTTTTTCGTAGCGAGGGATATAGCGGTGGAGGAGGAAGGGAAGACTTCTTCCCCTTGTGACTAGCTACTCCCCGTTCTAGAAGGGGATACTGCTGAAAAAGTCTCACTATTTGTCCACCCCGGCTTCAACTTCTTGGATCTTCAACTCTAGCTCCTGGTCCCGTATAGGTTTCTCAATAGTCATGGTCGTGACGGTCCAGACTGTTGGCAGCACAACTACCAACGACCCCATCGACAAACCCCAGTTCATCCCCAGCTGCGTCATCGGACTCTTGTGCAACGCATTGATCCTCCAAGCCATGGCCCCGCCCGTTGCCTGGAAGGTCTTGTAGGCGCCAACAAGAATGGCAGCCCGTGAGGTCGAGTTCGACTCAGTGCCAATGAGCCAGTAACAAAACCCTTGCCACAGCGCGTCATACGCCCCATAGAAGATGTACAGAAATATCGGGCCAGTCGACAGGGAGCCCTGGGTGTAGTCAATGTCCTGCTTGAAGCCGGCCGCGAGGCGTCGGTCTTGCCATTTCTGAAACGCATATCCTCCACCCCAGATAGACATGCCGGTGACAAAGAGCACCACCCACCCGACGCGGGCTCTCATGGGTCGGGAGAGGAACGGAAGGTCGAGCAGCACACCTATCAGGAGACCACCAATCATCTGTGCAATCCAGTACAAGGCTCCATTGAGAGAGCGAGTTCGAATGTTGAAGGTCATGCCATTGACCTGGTTCTGCTGGTACGAGTAAAAGACGTTGGCGCAGAAGAACAGCGGCAGCATGCAAAAGACGCGCCAGCTGGCCATGGTGCGCACCGCGATCTCGATGGTGGCCTTCCACGAGTGCTTCTCGCCTTCAACAGCAGCGTGGAGCTGTGCCAGACGGATCCGCCTGGGTGAACAAATAAACAAGCCCAACACCCAGCCGAAGAGCATGATGACCATCAGGGCGATATAGGTCGAGTCCGAAACGGTGCCAGATTTGGAGTGGAAGTTGAGACCAAAGGATGCGAGGCTGCCCACTCCGCCCCCGAGATTAAAGACGATCCAGAAGACGGCAATGGCACGGCCTTTCTGAGACTCTGCAACATAAGTGGTCATCTGCCAATCTCTGTTAGCTTGTACGCTTGTGCTGAGAAAGAGGCAGCCATCATGGTAACGGCCCTGTCGATAGGGGATGCATCTCAAAGGAAAGAGGGAAGCTCACAATAGCACCCTGGACCACCCAAAGCATCGAGGCTCCAACACCCAGGATAGCGCCCGACGCAATAACGAACGCACCGTTGTCATGATCTGCCTACTGTTAGCAAAGCACCTTCACAATCCCACATGATCCTCACGGTTGAAATTGAGCAAGCTGCCGCTGTACAGGGCATAGGTCCAGCCACCCAGCAAGAAGCAAATGCGAGGCCCTGTGTACGAGAAGAGAGGACCAACGATGAACAAGGCTGTACCAGCGGTTGCGGAAAGGAGCGCGACGGTAGCGTTGGCAGCCACTGTATTGGTTGGTCAATGTTGAGCAACTCTTTTGAGATCAACTGTCTGTTCTAAATACCTGTCGGATCAACCTGTCCAGAACCTCCCAGACCACCAAGCGCATTGTACATCTGTTGGTAAGGTCAGCATGTTTGTTCCAAAATCGACTCAGTAGCTTGTAAGAACTCACCCCAGGGCAACAGAAGCATATCAGACTGATAAGCATGATCTGAGTCCATGGATGCGCATAGAAAGACTTGACGGACGAGAAGCGGGATCCATCCGCACGCTCGACGTTGTCTTGGTGCAGTTCAACCGGCTGCGGCGCCTGTGTCTCCTCTTGGTTGACCATGATGAAGGCCCGTAGTCACAAATCGATCTGTTGGGGGAAGTGCACAGACGCGCTGCTCGATGGGCAACGCCCATATAAGGAGCAGCATACTTCATCCTTGGTAGATTAGCGACATCGTCGGTTACCACCCAGATATCTCTCGTCGCGAAGGATACCGTTACATTGACTACTCGCTCTCCACATTTCCCCGACTCTGGATTAGCCTTTGATAAAGCTTTTGTCGATGCGAAAGGCTTGACTGGTGGAGGTCTTTTGCCTCCTTGGGGGTGAGATCAACAGTCAGCGGAGGCGCAATTCCTTTGGGGGTCGCGTGGCCGCTGATCTCCACTTAAGCCTTTCAAGGCGTTTTGGCCGTTTGTGCGGGAAATGTACCCGGCTCCTTGGGTTGGTGTAGGTAAGAAGGCTGGAGCCCTTTATGCAGCGTCGTCGTTCTCCGCAGGCTCTTCATGTTGCGCTATCGACCTTGAAGTTACATTGGAGATGACTGTCTGTAGCAATTCATTATTAAATGAGATTGAAATCACACCAGGTGCAAGTGGATCTTCCAAGGCCGAACGAATATGGTAGGATTTTGGAAGATTGGAAAGAAAGAGAAGATGTCTTCAGCTGATGGTTGTAATCTTCCAGACAGGGCGTGGCTTCTATCAGCACATCTTTCTCAAGGTGCTAACAGCAGCGATCGACCTGAGTGAACCGAAGCATGAGGTGAAAAAGGGATAGAAAAATGCCCATGGCGACACCCGAGAACTTGTTTGCGTTGCAAACCGAGCAAAGAAATGCAAAGAGTCTCGATATTGATCAGGTCCCGACCCTGGATCTCTGTCAAATCATCAATGCAGAAGACGCCACTGTTTCGGAGGCTGTATCGAAATGCATCCCTGTCATCGCGGCCGCCATTGATTGCTTAGCTGCTAGAGTCCGGTCTGGTGGCAGAGTGGTATATGTTGGCGCTGGGACCAGCGGAAGGTAAGGGCAATGGTAGCGCTACCCACGACGAGGAGATTCCGTATCTGACTGTGATTTGGATGTATGTAGGCTGGGTGTTTTGGACGCTTCCGAGATTCCACCCACTTATTCTGCTCCAGAGGGCCAGTTTGTCGGCATCATCGCTGGTGGAGATGCGGCTCTTCGACATGCACAAGAAGGTGCAGAAGATGATCTTGCTGCCGCAGTCCAAGATCTGAAAGCTCTCCAATTGAATGGCGCAGTTGACTCATTGATCGGTATCGCAGCGTCTGGTCGTACTCCTTATGTATTGAGCTGCCTCTCTTATGCTAAGAGTCTCGGTTGTGCAACTATTGGCGTGGCCTGCGCACGGCCTTCCGCCATGAGTACCAGTGGAGATGTAGACTTCATGATTGATGCCGTTGTCGGGCCTGAAGTCATTACAGGAAGCACGAGAATGAAAGCCGGTACGGCAACGAAGCTGGTCCTGAATATGCTCAGTACGGGAACGATGATCAAGACCGGGAAGACTTACGGGAATATGGTATGAAGTCAAAGCCCGACTGTTAGTGGTACTTGTGTGACAATCTGCTGACTACCTCCAGATGGTTGATCTCAGAGCAACCAACTTCAAACTGCAACAACGATCTCGAAACATATTGCGGGCCATCGGTGGCACTCAATGTCCCGACTCGGATGCCGATCTCGATGCTGTTCTCGCCCGCTGCCAGGGCAGTGTCAAGCTCGCCATTGCAACAATAGGCTTGGGAACCTCTGTAGAGGAAGCGAAGTGGCGCTTGGAAGATGCCGGTGGTGTCCTAGCCAATGTCTTGAAGAAGCCTCCTCATGAGTGTACGAAGAGTCAGCCAACCGCAGACTCTCGAGCTCCAGAGTATGTTCTTTGCGTTGATGGCGGTGGGAGTAAATGCGCCGCAGTTGTGACCTCTGCAGATGGTCAGATAGGGTACGGCGAAGGACCAGGTTGCAATGTAACAGACGTTGGTGTCGAATCTGCAATTCAGTCGATATCGTTAGCTATACAAAGAGCATGCGATTCGCACTCCTCGGTCAGGGCTGGGCCGTGGACTCCTGGCCTTTTCTCGTCCATCTGGATCGCCCTCGCCGGCCATGATCGGAAGGAGGTTGCAATCACCGTAGACGACATGACGGCAAAGCTCTTCAAGCGGAGCCTGGGTGCCACGTTGAGGGTTACGAACGACATCGAGTTGCTTGCTGTCTCGGCAGCAGAGAAGAGCGAGGCCAGCTCTGCAATTGTGCTCGTTGCAGGAACAGGGTCGATCGCAATGGCTTTTCAACGTCAAGGGAATGGGTTCGTCCGGAGTGGAAGGTCGGGAGGATGGGGCCATCTGCTTGGTGATGATGGCTCGGGCTTTGACATTGGGCGACAGGCTGTCCGCCTGGCACTGTCCGCAGTTGACGAGTTCAACAATCGCAGCCTCCACCGCAGCCTGGACGACGACAAGCCGTTCGCCCCAACTGCCCTCGTTCAACGAATCTTCGACTCCTTCTGCCTCAATGATCCTACCCAGCCGACCTTGGACCTGCTGAGCTCCGTGTTGTCGTCCGCTTCGGAGATGGAGAAGAAGAAACAGATTGCGCAGGTTGCACGACTTGTGATCGATGCAAGTGCAGTGGATGTACAAGCAAAGAATATTGTCCAGAAGGCCGTGAACAGTCTCGTCAGGCTGCTTGATCCCCTCATACGGTCTGGACAAATTGACCTGTCAACATCCAGCCTAGTGCTGGCCGGCGGCTTGATGCAGAGTCCAGTCTTTGTGGACGCATTCAAAGAGGCCTTGCATGTCGCCGAGTTCTCCTTCCGAAATATCGAAGTAGTCAATCAGCCGGCGATACTGGGTGCCCAACATTTGCTGCGGGTACAAGAAGGCTGAGCTCAAGTACATACAACTGGGGGTACCTGCACACTTGATCAAGACTAGATGAACCTACAATACTGTACGACGACACGCAGAGGGTTGCGTTTATTCTGTCACCAGGTTCGGCCTTGCATGTTTCCAGCCTCACAGCCTCGTCTACGCATCTTGCCTCCTCAATAAGAAACACCAGAGTTTTCACATACATACACAGGATTGATTGCTGTTCAACTTAGAACTACACTATGTACGCTGCTAAAAACACTCCGCCTGCAGTGCATATCCATAACCAACCCTTTGGTTCCAGTACACCTTCGCAAATCCGCCAAACACATCAAACAATTCATGCCAGGCTCATGTCGAGAGCCTTTCCGGACGCTTGTCGCCTTCATCTCATTTCCATATTCCATGCGTTAGTGTCACTCACTCCACATTGCCCTCTCTTCTCACGAGAAGTTCTGTGAGAAAAAGGGCATCACCCGTTCCAAACACTTCTTAACCTCCACGGCCTCCTTCTCCATCTTTGTCCGCTGTTCTCGCATCCTTTCCACCTGCGCCAACACTTCTCTCTTTTGCGCCGCCAAATCTTCATGTCCTCCCTTCAATCTGTCGTTTTCCTTTCGCAAGTCGGCCTTTTCCCGTTGGTGTCGCTCAATATCTGCCATGATCGCCGATAACTCGCCTTCTTTTCGACGCAGTGATTCTTCATGCTTTACAGAGGCCTGTGATATGCTCGTGATTTGCTTCCTAAGCTCTTCATTCTGGCCCTGGGTCTCTCGCAGCTGCTTCTTGGTGTTGAGCAATTCGCCCGTGGCTTGCGACAGTTTGACCTCGGCGTCCTTGTCAATTTTGGACAATGCTGTCTCGAGCTCCTGTAGTTTGCGCTCTTTGGCGTTGAGTTCGTTGCGTAACGAGCGGACCTGCACATCAAAGTCCTCTGCCTGCCTTCTGTTCTCTTCCGCTCTCTGGGATTCGGCTCGATGAAGTTTCTTTTCCAGATCTTCAGTCGCTCTGTCTCTCTGGGAGAGCTGGCTCTTCAGTGAACGAATCTCCTGTTCCAGGCCTTCAGCGGCCCGATCGCGTTGTGCGACTTGGCTTTTTAGAGATCGAAGTTCGTGCTCAAGGCTAGAAGTGCGACTCTCCTTGTCCTTCTCTGCTTGCTGTAGATTTGACTCGAGTTCAGATATTTTGCGATCCTTCACACTGAGATTGCTTCGCAACGAACGAAGTTCCTGGCTGATGGTTTCGAGCCTGTCATCATTCTGTGTATGCGACTTCTCCACACTCTCCAGCTCCTCTTCCAGTTTATCGATCTGTCGTTGAAGCTCTTTCTTCTCCGCTTCCAATCTCGTTATGATCTGGCCAGCCTGCAGAACCTGCTCCCGACGAGTGACCAGCTCTTCTTCCGTCTTCTTCTTGCAATCTAATGCCTCATCCAATTGATCTTCCAGAGTCTCTTGCTCAGCAATCGCCTCTGCCAGCTTCTCACTCAGTTCGCTTTCACGGTACTGCAATCGCTTGAATATTTCCTCTTTGTCAAGAGCTAGCGCCCGTTCTGAATCCAGGGTCTGTTGTATCCGGTGAGCTTCAATTTCTGCGCGTCTCCGTTCCTCTTCCACCCGCTGTCTTTCTGCAGCATCGTGCCTCGCCTTTGCTTGCAGTTGCTCGATCTTTTCATCTCGCTTCTTGACTTCACTTGCAGTTCGAGTCGCTCCCAGCAAGGGTTTCATGCGAACAAAAAGCCGCCACCACGGGTTGGCTTGGAGATCAAGATATACGTTGAGATTTCGCTGGATCACCCTTGTTGCTTCCGCACGGTACAGCTGTTTGAAAGCCAAGCGCCGTTGCATGAAACCTCGAGCAACAGACTGAAAATTGGACATGATCTCTCTGATCAGACTGTCGCGCTGCTCTTCCAGATCGGCCAGAACTCCTGCGCGGAAGAACACCTTCGTCAAGCCCACGCGATAGTTGGACTGGTCCATTTTAAGTCGATCAAGCATTATCTTTGCGGCTTCCTGGCCCCCTAGATACCCTTTTGGCATGTTCTCGCACAATACCTCGTATCGGGACCGAAATTCTGCAAAAGTCAAACGATTGGGGAAACCCGTACGTGCAATCCGAATTCCTTCAAGCACACCATTGCACCTCAACTGGTCC